GGCCCAGTCCTTGTAATATATTTTTAAGCTTTTAGTTTAAAAATTATAAAAACTGAACATCCTACAGTTTTTTACAGTCTTTATTTTACAGTTAAAATATATGTTTATCATTTAAGTCTAATGTTACAACTAATCGGGGATCCCTTTAAGATTATGAAGCTTTTGTTTCATGTATCCAATATCATTTGTACTTGTTTAGAAGCCTAAACGGTGTGTGAAATGTTAGTCTGTCAAATGTCCTGACAGTCTGCCCTCAGGGAAGAAGCAGTCTTGGAAACATTTCCTTGCCCAGGAGGTCGGAGCCTTTTTATTCAGCCTGACTCTGATAAAGGATTGCCCTGAGACGGCTGCTTTAACGATGAGCTGCAGAGATGTATACTGCAGTCTGATGCTGAGAAAGCCCAGGCTGTCCGAGCACCAGCAGGGGTTCCTGGGTCCGACATGCACTAAAACCAAACCGTGCAAATTGCAGATTTTTTTTAAGAGGAGGTGACTGTGATTAGCTGCACTCCTCTGGGAGGAGGATTTAGGAGCTCTAAGCTTCTTCTTTTGCATCTGACCTGCTGCGCACATTTACAAGTTTGAGGAATGCTGGGAGGCAGAAAACAAATGCAACAACAACCAGGCTTCATTAAAAAGTAAATCTTCAAGGTTGTTGAAAATTGCATTAGACTGAAAATCCCTTTCTCATATTTCATATCCTGCATATCAATGGTGGTAATCTTTAAAAAGAAATAGGTAAAAATGAATAATTATTATCTTAATTAGTTTTTGTTTTATTGTCTACATTGTGGGTCAGTTCCCTACAGAGATGCCTCTGTTACCACGCCAACCACCTCCACCCCCATCCACCCTATCGCCTGTTTCTATGGTAAAAGCTCAGTCCTGGTTGACCTTAGCCTCCTTCATAGATAAACTTGTCATTAACTGAGCAGGCACTTGCTGTACTTCTAATAAGCTCATTTGTTCCGACAGTTTAACCCTTAGCTTTTCGACCTTGTCAACAATAAGTTTATATTTGTGTTTGGAGCGKAACAGCAGCACTTTGACCTGGATTTGTTTGTTGCTGGACCATACAAAAGCAGATTGAAGTTCAAGTAAAGTTATTACATGTTTCTCTTTGAAGTTTACGTTGTATTTGGTAAAAAAAATGGAATTATTAAATGACTGAGAGCAAATAACTGTTAAAAAGACAGTGAAAATGCTAAGGCTCTGTGGAAAACAAGCCCAAATCACCACACCTCTGCTGCCGTGCTTGATAGTTGTAGTAATGAGGCGATTGTGCCTCAGTGCCTGGCTGCTGTTAACCTTTTATTTTTTGTTGATTGTGTAAGGATGTCAAGTTTATCACACGTTTATTTTTCAATATGATGTCCTGATTAGTAATTTGTTGCATTCCAGTTGTGTTGGATTTTTACCAGATATAGCAATTGGTAGTTCTGAATTATGGGTCTGAACTCAATGTACACACACAGTAGTGCACATTGAGTGCATACCCGAAGTAAACAAACACAATGAGTCATAAAACAACATTTTTTTAAAACAATAACTTAACTATAACCCATATAAACAAGAATATATTTTAAGGTAAACTCTTTGTTTAACTATTTTTTACATTAACTCATTTTGATCTATTTTTATTTTTATTTTGTGGCATTTTTGGATCTGTTGTTTACAGCTGAATTGGAAACAAGTATGAATCTCAAGAATGAGTCATCTTCTTAACACATGTACGGCAAAAACCAAAGAGTCATTATGAATAAATCAATTTAGATCATCACTTGGTGCTGTAAATATTTTACACCGCAGTGAACCTCAGGTCCTCCTCGACTACAGATGTGTTTACTTGTTGACCCACGAGTCTTGTTTTCCATCAAGGGTTCACTTGGCTTTTTGCAGGTTAAAAGAAACTTTCATCAAGAGATGCTGCGGCTCTATAGGATCTGAGGATTTGTTCCGCTGCTGGAACAATAAGACAGAAAAGCYCCACCCTCCCTGGAGTCTGCTTGAGTTATTGTCTCAGACTCCTGAAGGACAGATTGTTGACAGATTCTGAATCACAATGTGTGCTCGGATCACTTCTCAGCTGAGTGCTCCTGAAAATAAATTTATCATTTTACTGTCAGTTGTAACATTTTATTTTTTGACACTACACAATTGATGATCTTGTCATTTTTTTTTTTTGATCTTAGAAAAAAATAGTTAGATTGTTGATGGATTGCTTGTTTGGTTTGTGAAAAAAAACTAAAAAAAAATCAGACGTGCAAAAAAGATAGATATTTGTTATGTTGTTTTTGTTTTCTTCAGGAAATATTCTTCTTAAAAGCAAATCAAATTTTAATGATTAACTTTCTATGAACTGCGAGGAAACCGGAGATTGTCCAAGGACAATCTGGGGAAATTACACCTCCCAGCTTGTCTGTGAAAAGCCTCCTGGAAGAAAAGGAGGAGGCGGCTGACAAAATGAAAACTTAAGTGCTGCACACTAAACTTTGACTTAAATGATGGCAGGTTCACACAGCAAGATGATTATTCAGATTTTTGGCTTAGACTTCCTGTTAATCAGCTAATGAAATCAGTGAATTCTTGTTAGTTTTTTACATTATTTCCATTGTTGCTAATGTTGTTGCTTTGCAGCGTTTTGTGGACTCACCAAGTAAATTCTGAGATCACACACCAAATAAGCTAGAATTACACTGACCAGAAGGGGATTTTGTGTGTTATTAACTGAGTTTAAGAAACAGAGTCAGTATGTTTCTATCACTGGATAAACAAAGCTTGTTTAAGATTCCAATGTCTGATGTAAAAGGTACCGCCCCCAGGGGCGTGACCAGGAAGTGAGCTTTGTGTACATGTGACTTTAGGAGTGGGATTCATTCTATTTGAGCAAACAGCTGCTGAGAGGGTTTGTTTTCAAGTAGGTATCTCTGCAGATGAGTAGGTGTTTCCAAAGGAAAGCTTTTTGAAAGGACACACCTGATTGGATGAGCAAAGAAGGGAACACACCTCATTGGACAGAGAAAAGGGGGTGTTACTCAAGGGACACAGCTGATGGACAAGCAAAAAAAAGGGAACACACCTGATTGGATGGAATAAAAAAGGGTGTTACTCAAGGGACACACCTGATTGGATGATCATTGCTTAGGCGTTTCTTCAAATCATTAGCCTACTTTTCTGACATCGGCCTTTCATTTATTTATTTAGTTTTGCGAACATGCTGATGTAACCGAGGTCATCAGAAGGCTTGGGAAAAATCACAGTCAGCAGATTATGTTAGACATATTTTATTAAACTTTTAAACGAAGACGCCACCTTCTTTCATTATTTCTGCTTTACTTGACAAAGAAGCTCTGGTTACATTTCAAAATATGAGCACAGTCAGTCGGTGGTGGTCTTATTTATTTATTTATTTATTTATTTATTTATTTATTTGTTTATTTATTTATTTTTATTGAGCTATTTAAAAATAGTGAGGGCTAAATGTTGTTTTTTAAACAGCGCAAATACAACTAGCCAATCAGTGTTTACGCTTGAGAAATGCCTACTTTGAGTCTGCAGAGAACCCCTTCTGTTTGTTTTTGTTTTGCTTCTGATAAGACCCAAGTCCTCAAGCTCACAGGCCCTGCCTGACTGACAGACTGAGCAGACTGAATGGAGTCTTTTAATAAAGATTATTAAAAGATAATCTACTTGTTTACTGCAAAGCTTTTCCCAGTTATTTCCAGTTATTGATCATGTTTTTCTTACAGACCTATTTTAATTTTAAAATATCTAATCTAAGTATTCTGCCACAATCTCCTTTGTGAGTCTGTGGATCAAAAAAGTGTTCTGAGTTTGGAAAGTGTGTGCCGTTAAATAAATATCAACCGTGACAGTTTTCAAACGCTGATATTGTTGACTGTATTTAAAGTTCTGCACCAGTCATTATGTTATGCATTGATTTGATTTCATTGTTTCTCAATACCCAGCCAGCTTCCAGTAAAACAAAAAACAGTTAAATTCCTGCTTCATGGCGCATTGCATCACCGAACCTCAGGGTTGCTGCAGGTTTTTTTTTTTTTTTTTTTTGTGTGACGCTAACCATGATCCTCTCTTTCTTTTCACTTTGGTTTAACCCAGGAGTTTGCTGCACTGACCAAGGAGCTGAACGCCTGCAGGGAGCAGCTGCTGGAGAAGGAGGAGGAGATCTCGGAACTCAAAGCTGAACGGAACAACACCAGGGTATCCACGTCTTTACATTTACTGAGCTACTTTACCTTTGATGGTCACTTTTTCATTTATGCAATATTAAACCGTTTTGTTTTGTTTTGTTTTGTTTTGTACTGTGAGTAGTTTTGTAAAATGTTTCACCTACAAACCAGAATTCCTGCTGCACACTCTGATAACCAGCACCCTGTGAGAGCTGAAGTTTGCTGTAAGGCTCCACAAGTACCGAAGCAATCATGCAAACTCTCTGTTTTTTTTTCTTTACCAAGTCATAGCTCATTAGCTCTTCACATTCTGCCTGAAAATGTTCCCATTTACTTAACATGGATGGCTGCCCACTAGCATAGCTTAGTCCAAATGGCAGCGATGCCCTGCAGTGTCCACTTCAAAGACTCTCTCGGGGGGATAAAAACAACTTAAAAACACGAGCAAATCAACTCAATTTAAGCTGAAATCTTCAAAAATATTTCCTGTTTTAAAAACCTGTAAGCACACTCTGCTGTCACCAGATAAGACTGTTACTTCTGCGTTCGCTAATTAAGTGTGGATTTACAGTTTTCATTATCTTGGTCTGGCTGATTTTCACTGAGCAATCCAGAAAAGCAAGTGGCAAGGTGCAAAAAAAGAAAAAAAAAACAACTGAAAGTCATTTTCGCACTTTCCCTTTTATTATCGCCTCAATTCCTCTAAAGAGCAATTACTAAGCAAGCCTTAATTAAGCCTGGTTTGTCACGGAAGGTGTTTTTCATTCTATAATTAAATCTGAGAAAGCATGTTCGGGCAAACGGTGGACTGGGGTGCTGTTGTGATGTCTGCGGAGACACAAGTCAACTTTGTTGGCGAAGCATCAGAAGTGAAAAACGCACCAGCATTTTTACTCGACGAGAAAAGGAGCCATTTTAAAAAAAAGCCCAATAATGTTCAGTGAACAGGATTCGACTGCTGTCTGTTCTAATTCTGGAGGAAAGGGCAACGTAAACACTCCCTTCCTGAATGATTCAGCTGGGTTGGTTTTGTCGAGTGCGCAGGAATATACATAGACCGGACCGCTGCTGACGGAGCTCTCAGAGCCTCACAGAGAAGACACGGCACTTAGTGTTCTGTTAAAGGGACTTTTTTATATGTAGTAGCGCAACTAGATACTCTCATCATTTCTGTTTGATGCAGAACAGTCACCAGGCAGTGACACAAAGCATCTAGAACAGAGATTCTCAAACTGGGGTCCCAGGGCACTCAGGGGTCCATGAGAGTTATCTTGGGGGTCCTCAAAAAAATTCACTAAATTGTTAATTTGTTTTTAATTTTTAAAATTTGCATGGAGAACAATGAACTAATAAAACAAGCATAACAGTTTAAACAAAAAAATACATATCCGCGTGGCATTTCAGGGTTGAAATGAGAGTAAATTATCTTTTAAAACAGCATGGGGGTCATGAGGGGGTCCCTGGAATCTTTTTTCCCATTGTAAGTGGTCCCCAGACCCAAAACAGTTGAGAACCCCTGATCTAGAATAAAGAGAACTGTGGGGGGGAAATGCTGATTTGGCTACATGTAATAGAAACAAAATGTACAGTACTTGGTTGCATTTTTATCACTAAGAAATAATCCAACACACAATATGTGAAAGAGGGGTTTGTGGAGTTACAATACTGAGGATTTCAGTCCAAAGCCCAACTGAAGGACAAGTGCATGGCTGCATCAATACATAAAGTTTGTAGTACGGTTTTTTTTTTACTCATGCAACACTAAATTATAATGTACAATGTGTGGCAGTGTTGCTAACATTGCTGTCATTTTCAGCCTGTTATTGTTGCAAACAAAAAAAGCCAAACTAATGTTTTTATTTTTCTCTGGAAGCCCTTGTTGGATTCTGTCCTTCGGGCTGTCACACTCGAATAAAAACACTGATTTCAGATTGTAAGTCATGCCAAGTTCAAACCCCACATCTGTGTGTTTTTACATTGTATGAGTGGCACAGTGTGAACACAATTATTGCTATTATTGATATTTTATGATACTACGGCTCACTGATTTTAGCTGCACCAAGATTTTTACCAATCTAATCAGTCTGGAATATTTTTGTAAAACGGCTTTTTACAAAAATTATAATCATTTTTTTTCTCTTTTGTATGCAGATATAATCAGACTATTTCTTTGGTGATACAGCGGATAAAATAAGTATTGAACACGTCACCATTTTTCTCAGTAAATATATTACTAGAGGTGCTAATGACATGAAATTTTCATCAGATGTTGGTAACAACCCAAGTGATCCATACATACAAAGAAATCAAACAATAAATGTCCAGAAATGAAGTTATTTGTAATAATGTGGAATGGCACAGGGAAAAAGTATTGAACACACTTACTGAAATTTATCTAATACTTTGTACAAAAGCCTTTGTTGTCAATGACAGCTTCAAGACACCTCCTGCATGGAGAAACTAGTGGCATGCATTGCTCAGGTGTGATTTTGGCCCATTCTTCCACACAAACAGTCTTCAAATCTTGAAGGTTTCGTGGACCTCTTCTATGAACTCTGATCTTTAGTTCTTTCCATAGATTTTCTGTTGGATTCAGGTCAGGTGATTGGCTGGGCCATTCCAGCAGCTTTAGTTTCTTTCTCTGAAACCAACTGAGAYTTTCCTTGGCTTTGTGTTTGGGCTCATTGTCTTGCTGAAATGTCCAGCCACGTTTCATCTTCATCATCCTGGTAGATGGAAGCAGATTTTTATCAAGAATGTCTCTGTACATTTTTCCACTCATCCTTCCTTCAATTATTTGAAGTTTGCCAGTACCATATGCTGAAAAACAGCCCCACACCATGATGTTCCCACCTCCAAACTTCACTGTTGGTATGGTGTTTTTGGGCTGATGTGCAGTGCCATTTGACCTCCAAACATGATGTGTATTCTGGCATCCAAACAGTTCAATGTTGGTCTCATCTGACCAGACTATATTCTCCCCGTATTACACAGGCTTGTTTAAATGTTGTGCAGCAAACTTTAAAGGAGCTTCAACATGCTGTTTCTTCAGCAGTGGAGTCTTGCGTGGTGAGCGTGCATACAGGCCATGGTGGTTCAGTGCATTACTTATTGTTTTCTTTGAAACAATCGTACCTGCTAATTCCAGGTCTTTCTGAAGCTCTCCACAAGTGGTCCTTGGCTCTTGGACAACTCTTCTGATAATTCTTTTCACTCCTCTGTCAGAAATCTTGTGAGGAGCACCTGGTCGTGGTCGGTTTATGGTGAAATGATGTTCTTTCCACTTCTGAATTATGGCTCCAACAGTGCTCACTGGAACCTTCAGAAGTTTAGACATTCTTCTGTAACCGATGCCATCATTATGCTTTGCAACAATAAGGTTGTGAAGGTCCTGAGAGAGCTCTTTACTTTTACCCATCATCAGATGGTTCTTGTGTGATACCTGGCCATCATTTGGGACTGAACCAGCTGATATTAACTTGCACTGACAAGGGGCAGGCTTGCTTTCTAATTACTGAGAGAGTTCAGCTGGTGTCTTGGCTTTCCATGCCTTTTTACACCTCCCTTTCTTCATGTGTTCAATACTTTTTTCCCTGTGCCATTCCACATTATTACAAATAACTTCATTTCTGGACATTTATGGTTTGATTTCTTTGTATGTATGGATCACTTGGGTTGTTACCAACATCTGGTGAAAATTTCATGTCATTAGCACCTCTAGTAATATATTTACTGAGAAAAATGGTGACATGTTCAATACTTATTTTACCCGCTGTAGGTCATTATAAAACATTTTCTAAAATAACAACATTCTCCCTCACCTAATTTTATGCATGTTAAAGTGCCTGTGGCATCAATTTTTTTGTAATGAATATGAATTCATTTTTTGAAAGATAACATTGACAAAATATTGCAAAAGAAATTTCACGCCACTGAGGTGAACATTTGTTGTTATATTGGCATGTGAAGTAACAGGAAGTGATGTCAAAGGGGAATATCTGTATGCAAACAGAACGTTTCTACAATAGATAAACACACAGACCGTAGAGAAGAATCTGTTTCTTTAGATTATTTTGAGTTTCTATCAGAGACATAAAGAAGAGTCAAATAATATTGTTTTAACAAACCAAAACCAAGGAGTTTTCTTTCTTAAAGGAGACCGATTATGGCTCCTAGAAATTTTTATGGTATCTCTGTGGGCTATCCAGACCATGTTCATTCAATTTAATGCACAAAATAATTCTCAGATAATAAAATTTCTCATTTTCTAGTTCTGCCTGCTCTGACTTCCGTTCAGAAGAGCTGTTTATGTTAATGAGCTCTGTTGGTAACGCCCTCCCAAAATCTGTTGACAATAACTCCGCCCTCCAAAGCCAGCATTTATGTTAGCATGGCTAATGATAGCAGAAGCTCCGTTGTACAACCATATGAGACCCTGTGAGATCCAGAGGCAGAGTCGTGGTCGCAGCTTCTTTTTCTCCCCCTCCTCTTCTCTGTGCTCACTCTGCATGCTGTTACCAGAGCAGGGAGCAGCAGCGGTCAAAATACCTCAGAAACTCGAACAAATAGGKTTTAACAAGGCTTTAATAAGCTAAACAATAGAGGTACATGAGAAAACGTGTTCATAACGAATGAAAATAAATAATTAAATTGTGTCCATGCCAGTGTCTAACCCTGGTCTCCCACTCTTTGGTCCAACACTCTACCCGTTGCCCTATTGGAGGCTTGTTGTGAAATGAGCTGCGCATTGCACAACAACAACCGTGACAGTTTTTTATACTGAGGAGGTGGAGCTTCACCTGGGGGTTGCTAGTTGAGGGGCTGAACACAGGTTCCGGTGGGTTGTCGTACGGCTTGTGACATCACAAAATGATGGAAGTATAAAACTTGTCATTAAAATACATAAAAATACATTTACTTACAGTAAATATGCCCCTGGGTGCATTTTTTTGATCCTAGAACTGTTTTTTAAGAAGTACATACCCAAAGTTGAGTAAAAAAAACCTTTAAAAAGTGAATTTTGCATAATAGGTCCCCTTTAAATAGTTCCCCTTTGATGTCGCTTCCTGTTTCGCTTTGGCTGAACCAATTCAAATGAAAATATGCCAGTTATGTGACAACACGGGGAAAAAAAGCGTGTTATGCAAAGTTTCTTAAATATAAAGCTGTTGCCAAAACTTTAGTGTTGTTTTTCTCTTTTTCCAGTGAACACGAGTAAACTGAATATTTTGGTTTACATTTATTTTTTCTAAAGCATTTGTCTTTGTTCCAAAGAGAAAGAAAAAGTCAGATGTTACATTTAGTTGGATATTTACATTTCCATCCAGCTGTTTGGAGCATTTTCTTTGTTTCATTGTTGGCTTTGCAATTCGTTTTTTCCAGTTACTTCTGGAGCACCTGGAATGCCTGGTGTCCAGACACGAGCGGTCCCTTCGGATGACGGTGGTCAAGCGACAGGCTCAGTCTCCCTCAGGGGTCTCCAGTGAGGTTGAAGTCCTCAAAGCTCTCAAGTCCTTGTTTGAGCACCACAAAGCACTTGATGAGAAGGTAGGTTTTACACCAGCAGAGCATGAGTGATGTCATGGCACAAACCCAGATCTCTAATAGAACCACCCTTATCCATTCATCTCATCTCTAAGAGCCATCATTATGAGTCTGTTCAAAATTATGATGTTCAAAGGTAGGAATTCTCTCTTGAGCTGCCAATTTGGATCCATTTATACTTAAAAAAACAAACAAACCTTCAGGTAAAATTGGACGAGGCAACATAGTGCAACTTTAAAAGCAACATAGTGCAACTCTGAAAACCACATAAAAGCGTAATTCAATCCACTACCAGTGAGTATTTTGTTTTTGTTGTTTTACAGGTAAGGGAGAGGCTACGAGTGTCGCTGGAGAGGGTGTCTGCCTTGGAGGAGGAGCTCACAGCAGCCAATCAGGAGGTAACAAACATGAAAGTAAAACATGAAAAATGAAAACATCTGCCACATCATTCAAAGAAGAAAATATGACCATACCAGCACTCAGACCTCCAATAAAAAGCCAGTAAGAAGAAAACAAAGAGGAAAGTGACAAATAGAGAAGGTTTAGATTTTCTGCAGAGGTGTGTGCACTGAAGGGGACTGGACAGGATGGGGGATGCAAAAGAGCAAAGAGAGGTCAGGAACAGAAATAAAGGTGTCTAATAGGAAGACACAGCAGGTTGTGTTGGTGTGTGTTAATGAGAGTGAAAGGGTGCCCTGCGTCAAAGCTGACAAGGTGTTGAGACAAGAGAGTAAATTGTGAGACTTTATAGACAACATGCAATATATCTGGATAGGATTCTAGTTCTTTTAAGTTCCAAGTTTTCCACGACAACTTTTGGAAGAAAACCAGCAAAGCTTTCAGAAGAGAACGCAACCTTATGAGGGTTAGAAAGGCTGCTCAAAAACACCTCTTTCTTAAATCTGGTTAACAACACCCTCSTCAGCCGTGGACAGTTGAGTGATTGGACCTCGAGGCAGTCGGACTGGGATTGCTGAATAGAAATGTCTCACTTCAGAGGCTCCAGGGAAGCTTGAGCAAGCAAACTGGTAATTGATTTTGGATGGGGGTCTTGTATGAGTCCCATTCCCCTGCAGGCATTTTTCCCAGCATCGCCGCTCCTGATGAAATCAGCAGCCTTTGACCTCGTTCAGTCACAGGTGTTTAAGTAGTCACACACTGATTACTGCAAGGGCTTGTAATTTGCTGCTATTGAACAAAGTTTAATAGTGACTGTATTAGAATCTGTTGACAAAAATTCTGTGAGAATCTGTTTATGAAAAATTAAAAATCGTGGTCAGTAATCAACACTAGATTTAGAAACTAACACTTTAAAGCAAATTGTAGTGACTTGGATAAAAGCAATATTTAGGCTTTAGCAGCAGAGAGGGATGAGGAACTTGTTTCCATTTATAGTTTCAACCTATAATTTTTAAAAGAAATTCTGCTTTTGCAGGAGGTCGTATTTATTTCTAAGCCAGCTATTGATCTGAATAATGAAAGGCCAGCACCAAAAACTGAGCAGCTGTCTGCGCTAACTGAGAGGCCGACGCTGGCAAATTAGAAGGAGCCAGCTTATCCACGCTAGTTGCTAGCCTCTCTGATGCTAACGCCAGCTTATCCATGCTGGTCACTAGCCTCTCTGATGCTAACGCCACCTTAAGGGCTCGACACACGGGAGGCGATGTCGCTCGCTCTCCATTCATTTCCTATGGAGCCTGTGCGGTGAGGCGACAATCGCTTGCCCTCCTCCAGCRAAGCGACRGGCGAAAARWGTGCATGTGAAATTTCGCGCTCGTACATGTACACGTGCATACGCGAGCTTGCGACGCGACATATGAAAGTTGAAAAATGTTCAACTTTTGTCGCTGTCGCTTAGCATACAACCAATCAGCGAGGGTTTCATTGACTGACCAATGAGAGAAGAGTATGCTACACACTGCGGTTAGCTAACACTTTCACCAAGTGATTACTYAAAAGCTTTGTGGGAATTTATTGGCACCAGGGTGAAGTTTATGGTAAGTTTTTCCTCATAAAATTGTATCTTGATGTGTGTTTGTTTTTCATTATCATTAGCATAGCAAGATTTGTTTAGTTTACACGTCCGTAATGCACACCCGCCTTCAGAGTCAAGAACCAATCAAATTTCATGAAGACAAGTGACCTGAGAGCGCGATTCGCAACGCTGCGATCGCTATCGCGTCCCGTGTGTCGGGATTTCACCCTGGCTGCGATGACAGCCGTTAATCGCTGTAGTTTGTCGCTGCCCGTGTGTTGAGCCCTTTATCCATGCTAGTCGCTAGCCTCTCTGATGCTAACGCCAGCTTATCCATGCTAGTCCTAGCCTCTCTGATGCTAACGCCA